AACAATGGAACAGTCGTTTTTTGGCATGATGAAACGTGGTGTAACCAGANCCACAATCACATCCATCCACATCCTCTTTTTCTGAGTTTCTGTTGTCTTTTTTAGTGAACCTTTGAATTCTGCCGATCAGATGCCTTTGTCTTTCTTTTTCGTCTGTTTACTCTTTAATTAACTGTGAAAATAAATAAATTTGTATTACAGAAAAACAAAAAATATTTTTCGGGGAGTATCCTAAAAAATTCGGGGCCCCCGACCCCGCCGGGGTCGGGGCGGGGACCAGGGTTAGGGGTTCCCCGCTGATCTCTAATCGACACCCTCATACGTGTGAGTAGATATAGGTCAGTCTTTGGGTTTTTAGTGCTTTCATTGAGATTCTTGAATCTAGCGTAGACAAATCAGTTATACTTGAAAAGATCAAGCGTTATCAATAGCACCAATTTCTATCTTTCTTTCCATTATCTTGGGCAAAAGAGAATTGTTTTTTGTTTATGTCAGTAGAGATGATAATGAAGTACATAGCATTAGTTAGATATTAATAAGTATGGATCATATACAAAGAGTGTTTCATACTGCCCACCCTGTACAATTTTTTTTGTTTTATTCCAATATTTAAAGCTAAACAGACATTGAGGGTATATATTTAAAGAGAGACATCTAAGTGATCACCCGAAATTTATTTTATTCAATTGATATCATTAATGAGAAAGTGCATTATTGAAAAACCTATATTAAATATTATAATAATTTTGTCAGATATATTTTATTCAGTTTAATGTTGAACTAGGCTTGGACGTAGTTTCTTAATTAATGTTAAAACTATAATAAAAGCGAATAAAAAATGCATTTGATAAAATTATCTTAATATTTAATATATCTTTTCAGTACCGCAATTTCTTATTAATGATATCCTTTAAGTGCAATAAATTCCAGATGATAACTTAGAGGTTACTCCTAAATATATATCGCCAATGCCTGTTTAACTTTAAATAGGCAAGAAATAAAAAAATAGTCAAAACAAATCCGAAACGTATGAAACATTCTTTATACGTCACAAAACAAATTGAAATATAGGAAAATTTTAAATTTCAATTTTCCTAAATTTCAATTTCTCCTGTAACATATATGTTACTTTCACAGAATGTCCAATAGTTAAGTGAGATTCTTACAGTTAGAATAATTCTTATCTTACAACTTCACGCGTACTTAGCGTTTGATTTCTGAACTGAGTGAATTGTTAGAGAAAACAACCCTAATACATAGGTCTAGATTGCTTGAAAGATAGTTTAGATAAGTTCTTAGTTATTTTAGTCTTGTTATCATCTTATAAGAATGACTTATTAGGTTAGTTTTACTTTTCCAGAATCTATATCACATAAATTTTATATTAGATTCTTACAGAATAAAATTAATCCAATAAGTCATTCTTATAAGATGATAGCAAGACTAAAATAGCTAAGAACTTATCTAAACTATCTTTCAAGCGATCTAGACCTATGAATTATGGTTGTTTTCTCTAAAAATTCACTTAGTTCAGAAATTGAACGCGTTTTTACGCGTTATTTTTTGTTTTTTTTGTCTGACTGGGTAAACTCTTTGAACGCCTCTAGAGCTTCCCTCGTAAGCAAAAAAGAAATTATTTTATTTATTAAAATTCTAAAATAGATTAATTAACGATACAAAATATTTCTGTATTTTCTTCAAATTAATTCTCGACTCTGTTTTATATTATTTATAAGCTCCAAACAAAAATTCTTGTGCGTCTTGATAAAATGTCACTCTTTTGTATTTAATTGCCAAACTCGTTTTTAATTTTTTTTAAGTAATTAAAATTGAATATAATTCATATGAAATCAAAATATTTATTCACATGGTTTGTTGATAAATATGAAACATGGTATTTTATTTGTTCTTTACTTCTCCATCATTCAACGTAAATGAAAAATCGACTTCTTTTTTGAATGATTCACAAAACAATTCAGCGAAAAAAAATTATCTAAATAAAACATTTTTTTTAACTTGGTGAAACACAATTGAAAAACAACAAAAATATTCTTGTACCATAGATGTTATCATTTCATCAAAATGAAAAAAAATTCTAATCAATAATCGAGTTTTATATATTATTTATTTTTATTTTTATCATTAATACTCTTCTTCAAGATGAGCCAAAAGTAACATAATATTGAATTCTTTTTAATTTTGTTAATAGATCGATAGTTATATTTTATATTTAGACGACATAGGCTATATGAAAATACTCGCGAAAATCTACCTTTTCATAACCAAATATTAACGTTAAATTAAATGACTCCGAAGAAAACAACTTTTTGAAAATCAATTAAAAAAGTTCGAGCCATATAATTTCAAATTCAATCTGAAAAAAGTGGGAACTCGCATTTTCAAATGGTAATAGAAAAAAAACATTTCTTATTTCTTGTTTCGCTACGGAAGGTGCCCACGCGCTGATTCTTCAAGATGAAATTTGAATAAGAACGTGAGAAAAATGTCAATTTATATATTACTCAATGTACGTCAATGAAGAAAAAAAAAATTATCAATTCAAAAAATAATTAAAAAACCCAATTCGCGCAACAAAAACTTTTTGAAAACGTGAACAATTTGTGTGTAAAACAATCGTTTTCCAAGAAAATTTTCTTCAACAATTGATAAATCAGTTGTTAAAAAACTATCTACTATGGACGTTTCTGAAGGCAGAAGTATGCTTTCCATCCTTCATTCCCTCCGAGGTTTTAGGCCCCTGATTTTTTTTATATTCCCGAGATTTACTGCATCACCGTATGAAAGGAATTAAGACAAAGGCTGTTATATGACTAAAAGAGAGCGAACAAGAGTTCGAAAGATAGTCATCTGAAAGTGAGAACTCACTCTTCCGAACTGTGTAGCTCTTTTAGTATGCTAAAACCTTCTCTCATGCTACGAAATAGATAAATCCCTGATTTCAATGAATTTAGTAAATAGTAAAAAATTAAATCTTGGAAGATCCTCATTTTTAGTGGCGCATCTTTTAAAAAAGATTTCAATATTATATTATTTGTTCGTGCAGAGATATATGGTAAATAACTATGCTGAAAACATGTCGGGACATCCGGTTTCTCTTTATTAAGAGTTAGAGTTTCAAAAACTAGAACATTTCTCATTTCCTTCATATCACCCTTCCATCATTATCTGAGGGATTTCGAGCCTCCTCTAAATTAGAATCGCTCCGCCTCCTCTAGAATGATTATGATCCAATTTATATTTCTCAAATATACATATATCTTGAATTTCATGTAAGTGAAAATCTATTTATTGAGACTGAATCAACATATATTTTATTTTGCATGAAATTAAATGATTGAATGTTGGAACCATTGACCAGAAGTGCTCATCGACAGAAAATAGTACATTCAGTTTTTCTAATTTGTAGAGTTAAATATCAAATTGTTGTGAGCATTTGCCAGTGTGATCATCTTATTTTCAACAACGTACAGCATCATATGTCTATTGATTGTTATTTTGAAGAGAAGTGGATTTGAGAAGTAACGGATACTTTACACAGATATTGCTAAAAGCATATAGGAAAGTATAGAGATTAAAACTTGACATAGTCGGATTCCACTAAGATCGGACAAACCAGCCATGCTGATCAAGTCAAAATGGAATTTGAAATATATTGAGTAATTCATCGACTTGTTCATTGATCATGGCATCTGCTTCAAAGTAACTTGATATTTTAACCTATGGAATCTTTTTAGTTTATGCAAATGATTAGAAATTATGTTTTCCCATCCATATTCACTTTCAATCGACATAAATTAGACATCCATTGTAATATGTTAGGTAAATCGTATTCATCATCACTTGGTGACAGCTCGAAAGAAGTTATTGATAGAACATATGACGTTAACAAATTAATAGAACAATCGTAGGAAAAAGATATGGAGAGGTGTTAAAGATTTGGTGAATTTGTACATAGTCGATCACAGTTAAAAGAGTATGAATCTAGATGTCATATACATAGATGTATAATACTTGGTGATATCACAGTGGGCTCTATGAAGTCTCCATAACCCAATTGATGCCAAGTAGTAGCTTTAAAAGAATAATGGGTGAGATGCGATAGATTCCATATATAGTTTATAAATGAATGGCTCATTGAAAGATCCTCTGACTTGTCAACTATCAAAGAACAATGGTTGAGGTTCAAATAAGTAAGATTAGTTGAGTGAAGTAATCTTAATATGACTTTTCCCCGAAACTACTTTTCTGAATGATCACTAAATTGAAGTGATTGAGGAGAACTTTGACTTGATAAATACAGTGAAGATAAATTATCAATCCAAGATAGAAGATATTCTTGACAGATTCTAACAAAATCATTGGCATGCAATGATCAAGAATCGATATCATACATGGAAAAATTATAAGAAACAAGAGAATTAAACCGGCAGTTAAGACCATGAAATGCATGAATAAGATGATTGATGCAAAGATATTTGAACAGATAAACTAATAATTCATTGGCTAATGATTCTAAACTCATTTTTAAATGTATTTCTTCAGTATCCGTCAGAAGAACTCAATCAGGAAAAAAAAATCAGAAATTTTTTTTAATCTTCATTATTCAAAACATGAAATAAGAGTGAAATAGTTTAAGTCAGATATTTTTTGATGATTTTGAAATTTAAAAAAATCTGATTTCAATTGTTTCCTCTTCGTAGTTTACTCAGCTTTGTTATTAAAATATACTAATGAGTTTATTTAGTTTTTTCTTCTCATCTTAAATTTGAATCAATTCTTGTTAGACAATGATATCTTTTACAATGCTTTGATTTTATTATATTTTGATGTAATAGAAAAAGAAAAAGGAAGAAAATTTAATCAATATAAATTTGAAATCTTTCTGGTGGAATAAATTCATAACCTTCACCATATAAAATGGGAATAATAACTGATCCAGGTGAATTTTTAATACGAGTTATTATTAATATTTGATTTTTTTAAAAATTATTAATATTAAAAGTAAATTCTTTTGGTGATAATGTAAAACAATCAATACACTGAGTTGTATTCCATTGAACAAGAACAGTACCATTTCCAACAATTCGATGTGGTGGAGTAGAAAGAGAAACATGAAATTCTGCACTTTTATTTAATTTAATTGTTGCAGATTGTGGATAATATGAAAGACCAAGATCAACATCTTCACAAGTGGTAGGCCAATTTTTTGGAATTGAATTAAAATATTTATCATCTGGTTTTCCAATTGATATTATATTATAATTTATTGTTGTTTGTATAAATCTAAATCCTCGATAAACAACTTGAGTTAATCGTAGAGGAATTTCAATATTTTTTTAAAAAAAGATTTCTTGACATGGAGGTTTACTTCCATCCTCAATTTCACATTTTTCATTTGTATACCAATAATCTTCATCTAAAGAAGAATTATTTGAATGTATCATTTTATAAATAAAATTAAGATAATTTTTTATTTCAAATAAACTTGCATTAAGCCAATGTGATGGAAATACATTCAAATAATATCCACCATATTTCCAATATGTTGTATACTCACAAGATGCGATTGATGTATCACCTAATAATAACTGTACATAATAATTTGATTGAGGAGAATCAGGAGTTGCATATGGAAAATGTTGCAAAGCATAACTTATTTGTGGTGTTGGATCAAAACTATATTTAATTGATTGATAAGCACGTTGATTTATTTCATCAATTGCAATTATTGTTGTACCATTACCAATAGAAAAAACAATTTGACGAGGAAAATATGATTGTTCACAATATCCTTTATAATACCAAAGAATAAATGATATTAAATACAATAAGATTTTCATCATTCTAAATTGATTAGATAGTTTTGTTGGCTTATGAGAATATATAAAGAGTTTTTTTTGCTACGTAATAAATAAATTGCCATCCAATGATGAATTGACAAAAAAAAAAGAAGACATTGCCATATATTTTTCATTTTATATTTGCTTAAGCTTCTTTTTTTTGTATTCTGTCGTTATGAATCTGATATCGTCCTTTTTCTATTTTGGTTTTATCCAACAAAACAGTCACTTTTCTTTTTTAATAAACGTCCTCGATTTTTCTTTTATAACATATGGTCGAAAAGTTTTCGAACAAAATATTGAAAGCTGAAACATATATACGCCTGGAAAGCAAAATCTGGACACGATATTTAAGGTATATCGTCGCTATAAAAACATAATTTAAAAAAAGAATAATATCATATTCTGAGAGCATGTGAAATTTGCTATCATTCCATATATTTGTTTACTGTCTTGTAGTTATCTATTATGAAAACAATTTAAGAATAATGAAGCCATCCCAACTGACAATTTCGAACAAAAATTCATATTTTTTCGCTACTTTTATATATAAGATGATGGAGAATTTGAATTTCTACCAGAAGACATAATTACTTTTGTAGAAAATTATTTAAAATATATTACACACAAGATTTCTAAAATTGTCAGTTGAGATAACTTCATTGTTCTTAAATTATTTTGATAATAGATAAGTAGAAGACAGTAAACAAATATATAGAAAGATAGAAAATTTCAAGTACTTAAAGAATATATGGTTAGTTTTTAAAAAGGTAATTCTATAATGATGAAAAACTTATTTTGATGACAGTGAGAAAATCAAGTTTGTGGGAATCTGGACATGAAGGCGTCTTCAATGTACTCAATTTATTTTGGTAATTCACAAATAAAAATATAAATATAAATATACAGAATGATAGAAAATTTCACACGCTCTCACAATATGGTATTATTCTTTTAAAATTATGTCTTTATAGTGACGATATACCTTAAATATCATGTCCAGATTTTGCTTTCCAGGCATATATATGTTTCAGCTTTCAATATTTTGCCTGAAAACTTTTCGACCATCCGTTAGTCATGAAAGAGTAAATAGAGATCTAACATTAACTTTAAACAAATTTCAAGAACTTGAGTTCTGCAGCCTGATTGAATACTTTAACTCATTGAACATCCAGCTCAGAGTCTTGTCTGGATGGTAACTCATCCAGTTCTACATGAGTTGAAGTACTCTTTTGATAAAATCTTTATTTCGATTATTTGTTAAATATTTAAGATCAAAAGAAGCAATTTATTCAATATACATCTCAGCTAGAATAACATCGAAAGCTTCATCATTAAAAATAGGAATAAGAGTTGTTTGTTGGCCATCTTTGAGAGTGAGAATGAGTTTGAGCTACCATTGAATATTTCATCCAGATTAAAAGAATTATCAGCAGAATTGGAATCGATGAGATTTTTTCGACGGGATCCTATCGGCCAGTTCAGCCTTTTCAACTGAATCAGATCGACCGGTAATCGAAAAAAATTGGCTGGCTTAATTACACAATGCAAACTGCGAAAAATTGGTCCGTTCTATATAAAATAGAACGTGCCAATAAGTTTTGAATATTTTGTTTTTTTTTATTGATCATCCGCAGAAGTAACCTGTTACATGTTAACTGTAGTTGCCAGTATTTTCAGAACTTTTGTGTGCAAAAAGATTCGAGGGGATCTTGTGAAGGTTCTTGAGAGGCTGGATGGGTCAGGAAAAACTCAAAGATCGAACTAGATCATTGAAAAATCGAGAAAATTTAGAATATGAGAAATTTGCATCGGATTACAGAAATCGAAAATCTATCGTTTATCTTTGGTTGAAATATGACCTTTTTTCTTTTAAATGAATAATAATAGTTTTAAGCGATGTTATTAAACTTTTTGCTCATGAACAAAAACTTGGAAATTTCCTCTATCATCAGGAAAAAGATCAGCTCATTTGTTTAGAATACAGTGGAGATATACAATTTTATTTTTGGTCAATGAATTTTCGGACACCCTGTATATATAGTGAACATTTTTCCGAAATAAAATCAGATGCTGATTTTATATCAGTTAAAACAAGTGTCTCGGTGATAAACTGTTATCAGTGAAATAAATTACAATTCGATCATGGCTTCAAGTCAAAACAATGGAAGCGATTCAAGCAGTTATGCTGAAGTGGTTCAACCTACAAAAGGCAATCTCAAAATAAACATTTTTGAGTTTTTATATATCAAAGACAAACATCGCAATGATTTGTATTATTGGGTTTGCGAACACAAAGGAAAAAAGGCAAGGAAATGCACTGCAAGAGCTGTTACAATTCGTGTTGGAACCCAGCATGAGATTCACAAATTTGATACTAATCAGCACAATCATGCTCCAGAAGCAAGGCTAAGATATGAGCAAATTATGGTGGCAAAACAACTTGTCAGCAAATTGTAACTGTCGGCAAAGTGTACCGGACCCATCTCAATTATTAAATTAGAAAAGAAATTGTTCTTTTTCATTCTCCATCTTTTAGCTGCCCACATGGATTCAATAACCATTGATATGGTAAAACGATTGATTTTCGTTGCGTCTGCAATCATATCGTTGTCAGACCACTGATCCAAATGTTAGAAAAAAAATAACTGTGGAAACCTAGGATTTAAATCCGATTGTTATGTGTACTTGAAAAAGTCAGAAGTAAAAACAAGTAGCGTGGGTCGAAGTGATCCATTGGGTTCCTTGACAATAGATTCAAACTATTATCCTCCGGACAGACACACACAGTCACTCTCGTGATTAAGACGCCTAGTGTAAGTAAAATAAGTGGTACTTAGTCCAGTGGAAAAGAAACGGAAAACAACG